TACAGCCTAAATGGCATCCAACTGCAAGAAGTGGACGCGCAGAAAGATTTAGAATTGTGGATCACGACATTGCTTAAGCCCTCGCTGCATTGTGCAAAAGTATGCAAGTCTGCGAATTCCGTCCTATACCTTTGATAAAGACTATTTCACTAAGGTCTTTGAAACATTTGTTGGCCGAAACTGGAGTTCGCTATCCAAGCATGGAGGCCCTGGACCGTGGAAGACCTCCATACCCTCGAAAAGGTTCAAAGGCGTGCAACAAAACTTGTGACTGAACAGGGCTCATTACCCTATGAAACACGTTTAGCTAATCTTGACCTGTTTCCTTTAAGTTACAGGCAGCTACGCGGTGACCTGATACAAACATTTCGTAAAATGCGTGGTCAGGACTACTGCCTTCTTCGATTTAACAACAATTACGAACTCAAGAGGTCATCCATCCAAACTACGTGTAACAGGGGCCAGGCTAGACACACGAAGGTTCTTATTTTGTAATAGAGTGGTCGACGCTTGGAATGCTCTGCCTTTGGATGTTGTTATGTCCACTCCCGTTGAAATCTTTGAGAGGAAGCTATATTGCTATGGTAACACTAACACTAGCTGAGCCCTGTAGTCTTACTGCAGGAAAATAAATATTTTATTCTTAATGTAGTATTTGCTTCATTTGAGTAATATTTTCTGTATCAAATTCATCCCATCGTCACAGGTATGCGGTAGTACAGCGACTGCAACCTATAAGTAATACAAATCCTTGTGTGTTGATTACCCGTATCTGATGCTATCTCTGGTGATGCTTTCGCGCATCAATCCGAAACGCCAGATTAATTAAGTTTTTGTTTCGACTGCTTCTTGGGACTTGCATTTTCGCTTGTATCGGCAGTAGTAGCCTACGAATCTACTGCACTTACTCAAGCACCTGCTTTATGTCCTGGAGAATCCAAAACGCTGTGGCCTGCAGTTTAGAGCACGAGTTCGCAGTCGCTATCCAAAACAAAAGTGGACGACGCGAAACCCACTTTCCCGGAGGTCAATCACTACGTCAGCGTCAACACAGACGAACGTTGGTAGATTTAATTTACAAAGAAAGACGGAAGAAATCAAGCAGTTGCCTGAAGTTTTCCAAAATAACGCACTACCATAAGACTGACAGAAATAATGTCTTTTGGTATAGGAACAGGAATGTGGGCACGAAAGGAGGCAAGCGTGCCTGACTAATACACATGCTCGAGCACGTGTTAATTCTGAGGCCCATGTATGCGGACCTCTCAAGGACGCAAACCGGTTAAAGTCAGGTCACAGAGACGCGGTGCATTCAGGGCAGACTTGACATCGTCCGGCTCCCCACACGGAAAATTCATTCATTTTCGTTGAGAAGGGCCAGAAGGGAGAAGAAAATTTCCATAATATCCACAAACAAATCCATTGCGCCAACGATATAGTCCTCGGGGCTGAGTTCATACCTGTGTCCACCAATGATCAGTTGCGTATCGTAGGCGAGATACTGTGACAGGAGAAGGGAGACAAGACATTAAAAAAAAAAAAACGGTCAACGATGTATTGAGGTTGGACAAAGTCAACAAGGAGTAAACGTAAGGACCAGATATTGATCAGCCTACCTGGGCCTAGTGTCATGACCAAGTCAAGAAGACCAGAGGCGGGAGAGAGCATGGGTCCCTAGGCGTGGCGCTACACACACTGCAATTGTCACCTGCAGTGATGGGGGGGGGAGGGGGTTTCAGGCACCAGAGCAAGTTTCTCCTGTTTGGAACCTGAGGAGAACGACTTCAACCAGCTTTAATGTACTACAGAATACATCCCACCCCATCCCCTCCCCCAAATACAAACTAATGGACCAATTAAAACGAACCTATGAGTTGGCCCCTAAGTTTGGGAT